TGACTCCTCCAGATTTTTAGTGATGTTAGAGGAATTAGTCAACGTTTCCTACAGTTTAAAGAGACTTTACAGTGAGGGAGGATACACAGAAACATTTTTAAGATAAGCTCAGCCAGTATCAGGGTTAAAACTGAAAAACAGGTTAATCAGTGTAGATTTAGAAAACCAAAGTGATGGAGTGTGTTCTGGCTCAACTGTTTTCTACAGCAGAGCAAGCAGGTGTCTGCAGCTCTGTGAATGCAGCTGAAATTCACTCATTATGGATGATATGATCTCAGGAAAAATGAAAATGGTGCCACTCCTGCTGCTGAAAATGTATTCTGCCACCTTTTAGGCTCTTTTAGGTTCAGATCTGGGCTAGAGGCGCAGAAATGGCTCATCGCTCTGTTCCCTCTGCGTAACGGTCTCTCCATGCCCCTGCATTCTTACCAAACACCCTTAAGGTACTTACTCTGAGCGGTTAAGTTTGAGAAGTATTTGAACACATGTGAGGTGACTTACCATGAATGTGTTGTTATGCTAGGGCAAAGGGTTGTACATGGGAGTCACATGGACCTGGATTCAGACCCATTGTGTCACTGGGTTAGTGCCAAAGCCTCTCCTGACTGTAGATCTGTAGAACATAGAGCTGTGAGCATGATCAAATGCGCGTGAGGAAAAGTCTGTCAGTTTTAAAAAGTAAGGCATTTCCATCTGTAGAGTAGAAAATACAGGCAGCCAGAAGCAGGTGGTCGCCACCTAGCAGTCATAGCGTTATTAGCACACACCTTTTTTGTTTTTTGTTTTTTGTTTTTTGTTTTTTTTTGCCTACAATTTTTTTTTTTCAAAGGTATTATTCACATGCCACAAGGTTTACCCTCTAAAACACGCCATTTTACTCATTGTCTTTGTAGCTGTAACCATGTGCTTTATAACCTAACATTTTCTGTTTAATGCATAATAGTTTCTCTTTGTCAGTGTTGTTTGAAAATATTTTGACAGTTTCATTAGTATGCCATAATTTAATTGGTTCCCTTTTATTGGAGCATTTAAATTTCCTAGTTATTTTACTAATATGAATAATTTCATAGTATAGTTTTAATAAGTCTTTGCCTAACTGATTCTAAAATAGTTTTCTGAACTTGTAATCATGAAATACAAACACTAAGACTTCTTAAAGTATTATCAAATTATTTGTTAAAATCTCATGATTTCTTTTTCCTGCCTAACAGGAACTTTTCTCATCAACTTTTCAATAATAAATTTTTTTATTTGTTTACATTTATCAAGAAGCACTATTTTTAGATTTCAAGAGCACAGTTTTGCCCTGGAGTAATAAAGATGGACAGAGAACATCATCATGTATAGCATCTTTTAGTGTCCTGAGTCATGAGTGTCAGGACAGCATGGCATTTCCATAGCTGCCTGTTACAAAGCTTGATCACGTTCACCTCCCATCCTTCTCTCTTCTTCCCTCAGCCATCCTCTTCCTTTCTTTTATGTCTATTTTTATTAAGATTCTGCACATGAAAGAAAATGTGTTTGTCTTTCTGAGCCTGCTCTAATTGACTTAATATGCTGCTCTCCAGTCTGCTTTCCTGCAAATGACACTTCTTTGTGGCTGAATAAAATGCCGTCGTGTATGAAGAACATGTTTTCTTTTCCCTTTTATCTGCTGTGGACACCTAAGCTGCTTCTGTACTGTAATGCAGTGTTGAACATAGAAATTTAAAAGTTTTCAAATCACAGAGAGATGCTAAAGTCACTGCTTAAAAATACATCAGCTATGAAGACTCCCAAGGGCTGTATGGGTCTCATATCCCCACTTCAGCTGAACCAAAAATTCCATATTCTCGGATGGTACAAGAAGAGCCAGTTTTACAGTCACTTGATATATAACATTTTCATTCTGGGCTTTCTTGAAAATACACACACCCTGTTGAAATGTAGCCCAACAAGGATATTCTTAGTTGTCACTCTGTAAGGTGACAAATAACTTAAAATAACTTAAAACTTACTTGTCCCCTGATGCATCGCCAGCCCACCCCAACTGGGGACTGGCTGCATTTCCAATCTGTCCTCTATAATCTTTGGAACAGATTGCATCTCTTCTTAGAAGCAGGAAAGTTGCCACTTTTCTCTCCTATTTTCTGCAGGCATTTCTCCTGCTCATCAACTGACTCACTGTTGTGCCCACTGGTGCCTCTCAGACTGTGTAAAAAGTATTGTACACATGATTTCTCTTTTACTTTTGTATTTCTTTCAATGAGAAACTGAAAGGAATTTTACTATTCATCTTTTAAAGCTCATTTCTCAACATCAGTTTGTACTGTTTTGTAGTGTGACAGCAAATAGTGTTAGCCTGGAAGACTTGCTTAGTGCCTAGAACATACCAATCTCTTCCTCTTTGACAGTTGAAGCATTTCATTTAGTTCCCGTGTTTATAAAGCAAAGGCTGGTACCAGCTCCCGCCTCCATGCTCCTGTGACTGCTGAGTGATGTGGTAAACATAGGCCTCTTCCTGGCATATCAAGCCACCAGATCAGCCTGCTACTTACATCATCTACTCCTCTGTTTGATGATCGGATTCCCATATTCAAATTAACAAACTTTATAATTAACACTGTTATTTAAAAGAAGGAAAATACCAACCATTCTATTTTACCAATAAAGACCCAGGAACCAGATGCTGGGGTGAAAACGGGCTAGCTCAGAGAAGGAGAGAAAGCACTCAGCTGATCTTCCGTTTCAGCTCAGGTCTGAATGGAAGAAAACCCAAAAGGCTCACTAGTACAACTGACAGCCCAGGAGGAAAAGGCTAAAAAACTAAGGCTTGCTAGTTCAAAGCCCAAAAAGCTAGGGAGCTGAGGAGCTGAAGCCTGAGCTAAAACCAGAGCTTGAGCTAAGAGCTCTGTTTCTTCTCCACGCTGTCTTAAATACCCCTCAACTCAAAGTCCCTCCTACTCTTTAATCCCTGTCAGCTGGTTTCTTCCTCTAACTCTTCACTTAGGGCTAACTTTTATTAGATTCAATATATAGGTGTGTGTTAAGGCTCAACCAAACCAAACAAGGGACAGGGTTTCACAGTTCACAATTTTGGGTTCACAATGGGATCAAATATCCTGAAATATAACGTGAAATAACCAGTGTTTCTGCTTTAATTTTTATTTACAACAAAACTTCCTTTATAGTCAAAAATATGCAGCGTTCTGTAAAGAGTCCATAGTTCCCATGACTATCTTCACTTGGTCCAAGTTGTTCAGTGCCTGGTTTTTGAGGAATCTGGTGGGGAATACAGATTTCTCCATGCCAGCATTGGGACCTTTATCCTCTTGCTTGTTAGTTTTATATGTAAGATGAAGATAATACCAGAGCACAGCCCCAGATCTGGGGGAGGGATGCTATGAAATCTAATGTTTTTTATTCAGTTACTAACTCCACACTTCCATGCTAAAAAACTAAGCACTCCACTACACAATTAAGTAGATATGAGCTATCCCTTCTTCAGGAGCTTTTATAATTTACTTCTTGCCTATAATTCTGGTAGTATATTGCTTAATTCACTCATGACTTTATTGTACTGCTTATTGCCATTTCTCTGATATTGAATGTTATTGGGGTAGCTGGTTAGCAGCCTGACTTTCAGTTGCCAGCAAGCAGACATTACCTTAACTCATTCCGTGTCAAGTAGTTTTTTTTAAGCACGTGATTTTATTTTTTAAGTCCAAAATGGGATCTAACTATCACATATAAGAAGCCAGGATTCTTGATTCTCTTCTACTTTCACCTGTCAGTTATTGCTGCCTCACATGCCTTCCCAACAGAGGGCAGTCTCTTTTGAAAACTAGTAGGACTAACGTTTACATCTAAAAATTGAAATATACATAGTAATGGAATCTGTGGCATAAACCTTAGAACAAATGTTAGGAGAGACCAAGCATGATGGCACAAACCAAGGCAGGAGGATCACAAGTTTCAGGCCAGCCTGAGCAGCATAACAAGACTATCCCTCAAGAAAGAAAAAAAGAAAAGCATCATGATAAATCTGAATCATGATCAATTTCTTTTAAGCTAATGTTTTGAATTTTAATTAAAAGTGATAAAACTGCCTCCATAATTATATGCATAATTAAGCTGTAAGATTAAGAGTTAAAATACACCTGGGCATGTTGCCACACAAATCATGAAATGAAGCATACAATGGCCGGTCTCATGGGTACCTGTACTACAAAGCAAGTCCCAGGACAGTCTGGGCTATATATTATAACCTATCTCAAAAACAAACAAAAATTAATATATATATATATTACACCACGTAAGAAGACAAACACGGTGGCACACATCTGTAATCCCAGCACTTGTACAATGAGATGAGAGGCAGAGACATGTGACTTTCCCAGAAACTTACAGGCCAGCTAGCCTGAAGTACACACCATAGCAAAAACATGAGAGACCCGCCTCCTAAGCAAGGAGGAAAGGAAAAGGAGCTCTTGAAAGTTGATTGCCCTACACAGGCTGTGGCGTGCCTATGCCAGCACACAGTAATAGTAGTAGTAAAAGCTTATTACAGAGAGCAACTTCACCTCAGAATGGACAGTCTTGGTCGCCTCTCAAACTGGGCTGGAAAATGGAAACCTTGAGACAATGTTCTAGGTTCAGAATAGGATAGCTTTCCAAATCACAGATGTGACTTATATCAGTGAAACCAAAAAGACTGATTAACACAAGTGGAGAAAGGAATCAGATGGCACAAACCGATGCACAATGCCCACGAGGAATAAAGACTGTAAGATTTCAAGTGTATGAGACTGAAAATTATCTTGCAGAAACTATAGTTAGTATCTTTGTGTTAGATTCGGAATTCTTTGGTTCCCTGGTTTTACATTAGAGATCTTGACTAAAACTGCCAACTTTATTTCTTACCTAAAATTGAATTGTTTTAGAAAGGATTTTCTTCCTTAGTACAGCCTGTGTTTGGGGTAGAAATGTAAGTACTAAGTCATGGTTTCTCTTTGTTGTAGGTAAAACATTAGTCAAGAAGCTTTCAAGAAAGGTAAGTAGTTCCAGGGGCTCTGATTTGTTTGATTGGGATGACATGAACTTGTATACCTTAAATTGAAAGATTTTAATTTGTATATTCAAAGGACATTGAGGATGTACTGGCTGGAATCCAAACAGCACGTGGTGGATCAACTTTTTTTAGAGACCTGGGTGATAAAGGTAATTTTCAGTCATTGTTAGATTTCTGTATTTATATGTTTTAACTAAGTAGTGTTAGATAATTAGATAATTAAACTGGGATGCTTATGCCACCTGCTAAGGTGTTCCATGGCATAATAAAGGATTCACTGAGTAAGGGATAACTTTCTCAAGTTTTCTAAGCAATTAAAGATAAATTGTTAGAACATCAGTGATTAAGTCCTAGAAAAGGAATGAGGGAGAGTGGAAAGTAAGGAGATTAGGTCTGTGAGTAAAGTAAGGAGATATCAAGGCCTCAGAGAGCCCTGAGGAGCACCCTGCAATGCTGAAGGCTCATAAAGAGGCCAGGCAGACTGTGTGGTGGTGCACGCCTTTAAGAGGCAGGCCATGTCTGTGAGTTCAAGGCCAGCCTGGGCTACAGAGTGAGTTCCAGGGCAGCCAGGGCTACACAGAGAAACCCTGTCTTGGGGAGAATGACCAGAGAAGCAGAGGGAAACCATAAGAATGTTTCACAGAGGCTGAGAGAACACGTTAAAGAGGAGAGTTGGGCCAGGCATGCAGGCACACCCCTGGAAGCCTAGCCCTTGCAAGGCTGTACCCTGGTGCCTAAGTGTGTCAAAAGCTTTCCCTGCACTGATTGAAATGATGATGTGATTTCAGTCCTTAAGTCCATGTCACATCTCTTTTTAAACTTTTTTTTTCTTAGTTTGGTTTTTTTCAAAACAGGGTTTCTCTGTAGACTTGATTGTCCTGGACTCCACTTTGGCCTCAAACTCAATCTCCCTGCCTCTGCCTCCCTGAGTGCTGAGACTACAGGCATTCTCCACAGCATCTTGCTCCTATTACATCCCTTGGTTTACACATATTAAACCATCATTGCGTCCCTGGAACACAACCAACATGGGCATAGTGTTTGTGTTCCTTAATGCAAATTTAACTTGCAAATTTTGAGAATTTTTGTGTGTGTTTATCAGTAAAATCGGTCTACAGGTTTTTTGTTGCTGCTGTGTTTTTTATGTGTTTTTGGTATCAGGGTTAATACCGGCTTCTCACAGTGAGGTTTATGATTTTCTTGCCTTTCTATGTTATGCAGCAGTCTGAAGATCATTAGCAGTGTCTGCTAGGTAGGTTTGGGAAAATGAGGGAAGGAATCCTGATGGTGCTAGTGTGAGATCCTCTCTACTTCAATCTCATTACTTGTTATAGATCTGTCTGAGTTAATTATGCCCTCTTGATTTAACTTTGGTATGGTACCTGTGTCTGTGAATCCAGTTCTTTTTGGTTTTCTAGGGTTGTTTGTTTTGTTTTGGTTTGGTTTGATTTTTTAATATAAATTTTCAAGGTAGTCCTTCAAATGATCCTTGGATTTCATTGGTATCTGCTGTAGTACCACTGTTTTCATCTCTAATTTGATTGCATCCTCCCTCTTTCTCATTTTGACTAACAGTTTTTCTATTTTGTTTCTTTTCTAAAACTGTATTGTCTTTGTCTTGCTGTGGTTCACACTGGTGTGAGCCTGGACTGGGCTGGTTAGAAGTCAGCCAGAGCAGGCTTCACTTGGGCAGCTTCCCTTCAATGAATATAGGGCCCTCTGCTGGCCACAGTAAGCTTTGCAGCCCGTGGGCCAGACAGATTTCCCCATCTTCCTGAGACTCAGGAGTTGTTATCCGGAAGAGCCTCACTCATTCTTGAGGGCATCCCCCAAGTATGTTGGGAATAAGGAACTGAGATCGCTACAGACAGACATGATCATTTACTTTCAAAACCCACTAAGTGTTAAACACTGCAGGAGGGCTGCAACTGTGGACAAGTAGTTTCCTATATCTTCCGAATTCTAGTCTTTATGACAGGATCCTCCTGGCAAATAGATGCCTCTTGAGGTTGACTACCCACTGGCCCCAAGCTTATGGCTGTCAGACTTTAGTTATTCTCAATTGAAAAGATCTACCCCTAGCCATTGTCCCTTGTTCTCAGGCCCCCAAGGTATCAGTCTTAAACAGTAGGTTTCTGGTCAAGATGGCAGCCAGCCACAGCCCTTCATGTCATGAGGAGTAACAGTACGGAACTGCTCACCGAGATGGACTACGCTTTCTCCCCAAAACCTAAACTGTGGCTTGTGCTGTGAGCAGTATTGCCAGTCTCTCCACTGTGGCCACCTGCATTTACTCTCAGCTAGGCCTTTGCTCTCCACCCTGACGGTAGAGCGTCACTGCTGGTCTTGTGGCTCTGAGTCTCTGTGGGTTCTCCAAGCTACCCTGCCAGTCCTTTGGTTGCTAGTGCTGCTTCCCTTTGTCCCTCTGGAACCCAGTCCGCTCTGCTTGGTCCTGGCGCTTCTGTCACGCACATGAACCAGCCGCTAGCCCACCAGTCAGGTGAATTAACAATGGAGTTTAATCATCACAAATAGAAAAACCTTGAGGAAGGATTTAACGGAGACTTTTGTTTGCTTATTTATTTTTGTTTTCCATTGAAATATATATTTCCAAGAAGAAGGAAAGGTTCAACAGCTGATTTAGTCACCTGTACTTCATTGCCAATGTTAATAAAACTGTGTAAAGAACAATTTAAGATGCTCCACTTCACCCTATATACGATCCATCAGAATTTATAACATAACCAGCCAAAGGTAGAGTTTTGAGATAAAAATAAAAATAATTCACTATTCATTAAAGAAAAGTAAATTATAAGTTACAATTTCTGAATTTTTAAACTAAGCTAAATTCTCAATATCACGCTTTCCTCAAGGATTTTCTGACCATTAATTACAAGACACATTGTTGTAAGATGTGTGTGTGTGTATATATATATATATATATATCTCCCCATGGAAGAGGGATAACCCAGCTTCCTTGGGGAACAAGTTTCTCAAAATGCTGTTACTCACAAGACCATGTCTGACTGTGGTTCCAACTTCAAAATATTTCTGCAAGCATAAGAACTGTTCACTCACCTTTCCTAGGACCCCGTAAAGATTCTTTATTAAATTTTTAAAAGTAGATGTTTAAAACATTTCTTTGCTTGGGCTGAAGAGATGAGTTGGTGGTTGAGAGCATTGACTATTCTTCCAGGTTCAGTTCCCGGTGCCCACATGGCAGCTCCCAGCTGTCTGTAGCTCAAGCATGTGGTCATCACCATATACAGGTAAAACACCAATACACAGAAAATAAATTTAAAATAATAAAACATGTCCTTGTTCATCATGCAGCTTCGAAACTGCCTCTTAGCAGCAGTCAGTTTGCCGTTCAGCGAATAGGTACTGCGCTGTGTTCCTGAGTGCCCTCAGGTATGGGTCTCTCTAGAAGCACTCTCTGAGCAGATTCTGAGTGCTGCAGGCTCTCTGTTGTTTGTCTTGAATACAAGCTCAAGTGTTTTTACACTTTCTCAGCAGTGTTTATTTAAACCTTTTACTTCAGTCAGTGTTTCAGAGGAAGGCACTGGAATTTTCTTTTTCAAAAATTGCCTATGCTTAAAGGACATTTACCTGTGTTTAAAGAAAAGAGGTCTCCTTTGGCACCAAGCCCAGTACAATCTACAAACTGAGCTTTTTCTTCTTTCATTTTCTTTCTTTCTTTCTTTCTTTCTTTCTTTCTTTCTTTCTTTCTTCCCTATATTACTTTGAAATATAGAAAAACACTATTTTCTACCTTTTTTGAGGCTGCCAAGGGATGAAATGCTTTGATCCTCACTTCTGCCAGGAGCAAGACATGACAAACACATAGAATTTATTCTCCCTTCATGTAAACACTGAATAGTCTTTAGAAAGAAGTTTCTGCAGACGTCCTCCATGTCCTCACTCTGAGAAAGCACAACTGCTCCAAAACCCACTCTGCCTCTGATAGGGCTGGTCATTGTTAGGAAGTCAGCACCCAGCTTTTGGATTGTTTACCTGTAGGCTTTGAAGTGAAATCAAAACCATTTAGTGAAAGGTGGGGACCGACAGACAAAGTAAGACTCATGAGTTGATAATTACTGGATCTGAGTTTCATTATCTAATATAATAATATGTAACCAAGTATCTTTATTCTATGTGGTTATGTCTGTCATTGAATTATTCATGATAAAGTGGGCTCAGTTGTAAATTATGCATTTTGCTGTTATACCAAGTTTCTAATCCAGACACTTCTTTTTTTTTTTTTTTTTTTTTTTTTATGTTTTTAGACAGGATTTCTCTGTATAGCCTTGGTCATCCTAGACTCGATTTGTAGGCCAGGCTGGCCTCAAACTCACAGAGATCCGCCTGCCTCTCCCTCCCCAAGTGCTGGGATTACAGGCCCAGCACAGAGAAGACATATTTTTAATTCCTCCAGTAGCCATTCTTGTTAAAAGTCAAACTTCTGTGTTTACTATTGATTCTCTCATTGCAGCAACCAAAAGAAAAAAAAAAAATCACTACCCGAAAAAGGAAGTCTATTAAGTGATCAAATATAGACCCAAAGCTAGCTTGATTTGGAGCTAAGACATACCCAATACCCATTTTTCAAGCCTCCCACTTAAATATAGGCTCTGGGGCTCTAAATACTGTGTTGCACCAATTCCAGTCACTTTGCTCATGGCCTCATATTTCTAATTATAACTCTCAAATCATCAAGTTGACACATACACTCCCCACAAAAGAAGTCAGTGACCCACCATTCTCAGAAATCATGCAGTACCATTCATAGTAGCCCAGCTTCAGTCATGAACCAGTCCCTAGAACCACAGTCCTACCGCCTGTTCACCAGCTTCACCCTAAAGCCACTTGCCTATCTCTGCTGGCTAGTGTTCTGTCAGCATAACACAGACTAGGTCATAACACAACGTAGCCAATCCCAGAAAAGGGAATTTTAATTGAGAAAATGCCTCTGTAGGCGAGTCTGTAATACCTTTTCTTGATTGATGATTGATGTGGGAGGGCCCCCCTCACTGTGGGAGGTGCCACCCTTGGTTGGTATAAGAAAGCAGGCTGAGCAAGCCATTGAGCAGCATTCCCCCATGGCCTCTACTTCAGTTCCTGCCCTGACTTCCTGCTATATGGGACTGTTATATAGAACTATAAACAAAAGTAAACCCTTTCCACTCCAAGGTGCTTTTGTCATAGTGTTTTATCGCAGCAATAGAAACCTAAGACGCCATCCCTCCTTTAATCTCATGGAAGGAAAAGCAAAGCGCCCCACCCAAACTGTGTTTTTGAGAATGAAAAGAATGGTTTCTCAAAGAGAAAGAAAGACACTGAAATAAAGATTGAATTGTTATATTTTAACTAATATAATTTGACTTCTGTATGTCCAAAGCTATGCTACTAAAATTTTAAGTTTCCTTCAATCAAGGTGTTACATGTAGGAAAATTAAGTCTAAATTACATAACCTACAAGATGGACTGCTAAAGAATTTCTGTTACTTGCTAAACAGCATCCATCAGTGTTGTCCAAAGAAACAGAACCCACAGAGACGTGCAGGTTTGTATGACCTCTTTAAGCTGGAGACCCAGGAAAGCCATCAGTGGGACTCAGTCTAAGCCCAAAGGCCTGAACACCAGGAGAGCCAGGAATGGAAGGGTAAAGGATACAGTGATGTGTCATAGCAGATAAGGAAAGGGAGGAGGCAGGCCTGTTTGTTCTTCCCTCAGTGTCTTACTGGACAGATTAGATGATGCCCACACACTGAGAGGTCAGCCTGCGCTGCTGAGTCTACCAGGTCACAGGCTAATTTTAACTGGAGAACCCTCAGGCACACCCGGAAATAATGGACAATTTTGGCCCAGTCAAACCAGCACATAAGATCCACTATCATGACCTTCTTACTGGAGGCAAACCTTGATGACGCATGATGTCTTTCTTTTTAAACCAGGCTGTACTTCAACTCCTGTTGTACTGTGGTTTCCACAATTTTTACAGAGGTGAAGTTTCAGTATTCGTTATTTCCGTGGCTCTCATCTAAAATTTATCTCCTGATTTGTTCTTATTTTTTCTCCTCCAGGGGTAATTTCATATACCGAGTATCTTTTTTTGCTTACAATCCTCACAAGTAAGTACCCATACCACTTCTCTTTATAACAGCCATGTGACATTCTCATCCTTAGCAAGCAGAACTTTTGAAATTTGTTGTTTGTGTCTTTATCACTAAAAACACTGGTAACAGGAACGGTGAGATGGTTCAGTGGGTGAAAGTGAAGTGCTTAGTAGAGAGAGAACCTGAGTTCAGATTCCCAGCCCTCAGGAAAAACCAGGCACAAAGGTGCATCTGTGGTTGTAGTACTGAGAGAGTGGGCCCCACGGGCTAGTCTGTCTGGTGAATCCCAGAAACGCTCCAGATTGAGAGACAGCAGTAAAGTGGGACCAAGAGCCGAAGCTACAAAGTCCTGACGTCCATGTGAACACGGACATGCTCAGATGAGCTCACATGCATACACCACAGACATGTGCATATGTGTGTACATGTGCACATCCACACACACACAGGAGCCTTAATCTCCACATCTAGAAAATGACAACTTTTCCACCCCCACATACCCTGTAGCTTTGTTTCTGAGGCAAAACACAGAGAAAAACCATGGTTAGTGCTCTCTCAGAGAGAGAGAATATCATGGTTAGCCTCAGGGGGGAGAGAGAATTTTGTTGTTTTATTTTGTGAGTTTTGGTTTTGTTCTGTTGAGAGAGTCTCACAGTGTGACCCGAGCTGGCCTGGAACTCTTTTGAACTCAGAGCTCTACCTGCCTCTGTCCCTGGGATTAAAGGATGGGTCACCATGGTTGGCCTCTTGGGAATATTTTTAATAAAACAACTTTGACACTGAACAAGATGCTTGACCTTCAGAAGTAGTCCAGTGGTGAAAACAAAGGAAAGACTGAGGTATGCTCATACATGGATGAGACTGACAGCCTTGGCGACTGAGTGAAGCATAACTTGCATTGATTCTAAAACCCAACACAACATTAGTGACAAGCATACAATGTGCTTTATGGTTCGTGGTTCATAATGCCATACCAATACCTTAGTCTTGCTAAGTCTGCTGTGGTATGTAAAAGTTAACATTAGAGGAAGCTGGCTAAACAGTATATGGGCCTGCCACTGTACTTTATTATAATATGTTGAAAGATGGCAAAATAAAAAGTTTAAAAAACTAAGAAAGGAAAACAATAATGATGATAATAATAATAATTGCTATGAGGATGGCAGGAGTGCTGTGAGAATACAAGAAAGCCAGAGATGAAGGTCAAGAAGCAAGTTCTCACAGTAATTTGTTGTAAAGGGTGAGTAACACAGCCGCAGCTCCATGGAGATGCCACACAGTGGGAGCTTTAACATGAAGTACTGTTTGGAAGAGAACCTTCTTCTCGCCTGTGCAGTGGTGGTGGTGTGTGCCAGGCCTCAAAAAAGAAGAAGGAAAAAAAATGAAACAGCTCTTTCTTTTCTCTGTCTAGCTCTTGTTTATATACTTTTTGGTCATTTATTTCAAATTTGAAAGTTTTTCTAGCTACAAATGCTTAGCATTTCACCAACAACTAAACAGTTATTCATTGTTCACTTCCTTGCAGAGCCTCACTCTGGGTTCCATGTCGCTTTCAAAATGCTGGATGCAGATGGCAATGAGATGATTGAGAGGAAGGAGTTCATTAAGGTGAGCACATGTGTGTTGTTGGGGTAAAAGTCAAAATGATCTTCAGTGTTCACATATGAAATATCAATCCGTTTGCATGCTCAAAACTATTTCTAATGGCTGCTTGCAGAGGACCTGGGTTCCATTCCAGCACCCACGTGACAGCTTACTACTGTCTATAACTCCAGTTCCAGGAGATATGATGCCCTCTTCTGACCCCTGCAGGTACCAGACGCACACATAGTACACAAACATACATTCAGGCAAAACACTCATATATATAAAATTAAAATAAATAAATTTTTAAAAATTTTTCCTTAAATACAATCTTGGGAAAATTGACAAGAAAATAGATAAGATTCTAAAAGGAGAAATAAGTTTTGAGCATCTGCATTTTCAGGATTTTGTTTTCATGACTTCAATATATAATTATAAAGTAAAAATGGCTTCATAGACCATATGCTTTAAAGATTATGTGGTAAAGATGTTTTTAATTACTCTCATATAATAAAATAATAGAACTGTAACTTCATGAAGAATAATAAGGCCAAAAATATGAATTAATGCAATTTTTTAGGATCTGAGTATAGCTAATATTTGAAAAGATGTAAATACAGCTGAAGTCGTTAATGTTTTTCTGAGGATGTAGTTCTCCAAACAGTGAATTCCACTCTGTTAAATGCGATGCTGGGGGGGGGGGGGTATGGGGACACATGGTGCATAACTTAGTTGATTGTCGGCATTATTGATAAACTAATGACGATACATGAGTGACAGATTACATGTATACATAAATGACTGATTTGTAGCATTTATTTGGTTGGTTGGTTGGGTTTGGGGGTTTTAGTTTTGGTAGTTTTTGTTTGGTTGGTTTTTGTTTTTTGTTTTCCAGGACAGGGTGTCTTTATGTATCTCTGTCTGTCCTGAACTCCCTATGTAGACCAGGCTGGCCTCAAACTCACAGAGATCCACCTGCCTTTGCCTTCCCAGTACTGGGATTAAAGGCCCAGCTGTGGCTATTTGTTTTTAAAGTCTTTGAGATATGAAACAAATAGCACTCTCTTTAATATATATGTGTGTGTGTGTGTGTGTGTGTGTGTGTGTGTGTGTGT